GACGTCCTCACTTCAACCGGAAAGATTGTCTTATTAGAAGAGTTCAACTTGTTTATTCTGTAGCGATCTTTAAGAAGCTGTAACATCACAATAATTAACCCACCATCATTTCTGATTAAATTAACTGATTCCTATCACCCTACTTAGAAAAGGATTGTTGCCATGACATTAAAGCGCAGGTTACCATTGAAGTAATGAATCATCTGAAATATAAAGCATAGATAGTGATTTTATTTATCTAACATTTTTTGACAAGACACAGTATGTGTTTGCCCAGATGTTGCTAATAGCTAAATTTGGTCAGTAGACCCTGCACATCTGGGGTCGCCAATGTTCAATGCAGTAGAAAAAAGAAGCAAAACACTGCATTGATAATACATTAAGCACAATCAAATATTATTATAAACAAAATCAAATCAAACTGCATTTTCAAGTTTCTTTCAGCCATTTTAGATTTTTAGAAAATGAATCAGTGCTTAGCAAGCAGTAACCAGTCAACACTGAGATGAAAGGCATTACTACAGAATCCCCTGAGTGTGTTTCTGCTGAGACGCAGAGTAAACTAACACTCACTCAGCTTTTTCAACCCTTATTGTATTTCTTATAATGTTCATTGTTGGCTGGACAATAGGATTTATCATCTCCCTGCTGTATCTTTTTTTGCTTTCTTTCTCTCTTGCCTCATTCCAAAAACTAAAGCTCAAGCCAAAACTGATGAAATCTGTCAGTGATTATACTTAAACATGCTCCGTCTGCAGCTCCATTCCTCTGGCTGCCAATAACCATGATATAGCTCAACCTCAAGTATGCTGGTGCTTTTACATAACAGCGTCTTTAGAGTAACAGCAAACATGTGTCAGAGATGCAAACTCTGGCTTCATTGTTTGTGTATGTAAGTGGACTCATTCCTGCTAGAGTTACAAAGTACTCGTCTATTACGTAACAGGTATGATTATTTACCTTGCTTTTAACCAGGATGTGCAGAATTTAATATCATCGAGGCTCAAATAATTCATTTATGCAGCTGTCAAAATATCTGCAATTTATCTGTTTCTGTAGAAAATTATTGAGGTAGTGGCAGAATGAAACTCTTATTATTAATAATAATATAATAATAATGATGATATTATTATTATTATTATTATATTATTAATGATAATATAATAATAATGATAATATTATTATTATTATTTTTTTTTATTATTATTATTATTATTATAAAAATAAATGTTTACACATGAAAACTTGGTCTAACTTCTGGCATCTTACAAAAATTTGCCTACAAACACACAATGTTTTGTTCATTGCCTTGATTTTATTTAAGGACAAATTAAATTTCAACTATTGGGGGCAGAAGAACTCAAAAACAAACAGACAACTTGGATGGATACCACTTTTACAGCAGACACATAGCCTTCATTTGAAGTTGTTTCCGTCCACTAGTAGCCTACAAGTCCCACATCCACTCTCCGTTTAGCTCTTGTTAACTCCTGAGAAAAGTATGTTGCTCCGAAGCAGCTAAATATTTGGCTACGTTCTTCATCTAGTAGCTAGCATTGTCTTTATGCCCCTTTTAGCTCATTTTTAACCAGACAAATTAGCTAAAATAGGCTAGGAAGCTCCTCAGAGCTGCAGAATGAGGTGGTAATCCTGTGTGGGTTCATAACTGTATGAGTCACACCTTTCACAATACACATTCATTTTTTTCTATGTAAATAATTAATAAATTAGTGATTAATGCAGCTGTGAAGAAATCACTGTCATCATGTGGTGTGTGTAAAAACACACTGTAACAGACTATTTGTTGTTTTTCTCTCGTGTCTGTGTAGGAAGTTACTGAGGGAGCATCAGTTGGAGCCAGTGACCAAAGCCGCCCAGCAGGACGAGTTGGAGAGGAGGCGACGTCTGGAGGAGCAGAGAAAACAGGATTTCCCCGTACCGCTGCTGCTTGAATACACAACTGGTGAGAGCGTGGTGTACCCCTCAAAAAATGCTTCCATTAATACCAACAGCACCCAGACATTGATTCTCCAACCTGTACACCAACATCCATTCCTAATCCCAAACCCTTAAACGAAGAACAAACCACCCTTAAAACAGCTTGCTAACATCTCAACAGTGTGTTTTTATCCAACATTATCATTCATCTTGTTGATCTGCTGCACCATTCCTGTCCCTCTCTACAGGCGATGTGGCAAAGCACGTCTCCTCATCGTCGGTATCAGCGGCATCGCAGCAAGAAGTGAAGTCGGTCAGACAGGAAGTGATCTGCCTGGACTCCAGCAGCACTGGCATCAGCGAGGACGAGGGCAAGACTAACGTACCCACCTCCACTACCACAGAGCACACACACAAAAGAGGTAAGACGCACACATGTGTCAAACATTAATTAAAGCATTTATTAATTAAAAAAAACTTGAAGCTAGTAATTTGGCAGGAAGGCGTGATGCTGTGCTTATTCAGCCCTGTTTGGACAGAAGAATCCCAGAATCTGCAGCTCCTGTTTGACAGATCAGAATAACAGCAGCCAAAGCACTGAAAAACAATCACATTTTGGTGGAGAATCTAGAATTGAGTACAGCCCCTTTTCAGGTTAACCAGGCTGTATTTATATCACTTGGCTGAATTGTGTCCTACACACATCGAAGGTCTCTCGCCCTTCGACCTTTGATTGTGTAAGTGGGCTTGTAGGTCAGATGGTCATGAAAGCAGATGGTGACACAGAGCTGTGAAGCTAATTTATTACCCATCATCCAGCTGTATATTCTGAGCTGTCCACATAGCCAGGCAAAGCCTTAAATAAGGCAGATGCTAATTCTCAACATGCCTAAACAACACCGGCTGAGCTTTGGTACAATGTGTGAAGATTTCTTTCAGATGTCAAGTTAGTTACGCCGACTTTTTTGGTCCAGTTTTAGAAATTACAGGATAGATGTGCCTTTTTCCAACCCAGGATTTGTTAGCATCATGTTTCCCATTATTCATCATCATGCTTAACACAATACAACAGTTTTAAAGAGCAGAAACTCATAGGACAGTCAGACTACACAGTATATTCCACTAATAAAGACATGTCAAACTTTTTAACAGGTTTGACTGATCACTGCAGAAGCAGGAAGTTGTTCAAATCACAACCTTGCATGTTTTATTTTCCTTTTTTTTATACTGTGAGCTTAGTGGTTTTTGGAGAAAAATATTTTAAAAAATGTATATCAATAAATTTGCAGTGTAAACAGAAAGCATGAATGAAAGTTGAAAATGTTGGCATAGAAGGCAGACTGATGATTCATGTGAAGGTTTCTTCTCACCATAGGGAGAACAAATTTAAAAAAAGATCATTCGATGTGACAAAGCTTCTATTTAGAATTGCCTCATTCCCTGTATTTTGTGGTTTGTTAAGCTGGCGCTCCTTCTTTGTGCATGAGAAATTACAATTAAACCAATTTCTTACATGTCTGATGCATTTATGTTACTAGTCCGAGCCAGATAGCTGGTTTATCCAACAAACTGCTGGAACATTTGTAAAGTGAAGTGTTTGAAAGGCCCTTAACCCTGGTTTTTGAAGGTGTTCTCAAGTGGTCCAGACTGTGTTTCATCCCAGCAAGAAACTGCAGCAGACTGTTGAGAATCTCAGCACTGAAGCCATCAATGTAGTTGCACAATGCTCAGTTTTAAAATGATATGACATTTTTATTACAGTCTGGCTTGAGAAACTGTGGAGCTACAGTTCACAGTACAGTCTGTTGCATGTGTTTCCATCTGTCTTTAGCGGTGACTTTTTGAAAAATGTTTTTTTCTGGAAAGGTTTTCAGGACACAGTGTTTTTTTTAACATTCATTATAGCTCCATACATTCAGACCTTTTAGCTGCCCAGTTCGACCACAGGCCATAAAGTCTATCCACTAGTTCTAGTTTGGCGGTGTCTGGTGGAAACCTCACATCTCTAAGGCATCAGTCTCTCAGAGATTAAGCAAAGCAGCCTTAATAGCCTCATGACAGCCATGTGTTTATTAAATTACACACTCTGTTTCAAATTGCTTTCTGAGCCCAGGGGTCTGGAAAGTCTGCCCATTAAAAGGCTACATCAGCTTGAATTTCCAGGAAAAAAATCAGAGGGCTGAGACATAGACAATTTAAATCTTTTTTTACTCAAAAGCCTCAACACAGCAGACATCTGGGCCAGTGTTCATCTGAGATTGTTTAGAACTGTAGACACAAGGATGATTTGTAGGAATGAATGTTGGTGATAATGTTCAACATCACGTCCATAAAGGCAGTTATGTGTTCAAAAACGTCCTGTTGGTGATCTTTTGTGACCTCTGCGCACATTTCAGCCTTTCTTTTGTCTCAGTAAAGACAATATTAAGGGAGTTGCACTTTATTTCCAACAAAAACTTGGCATTCATGCAGATTTCTTTAAATTCTTCCATGCGTGAACAGACTCCGCAGCCTTTTTGGAATCAGCTAAACCCAATTACTTGAAAGTCTCCCTGCACAAATTTAAACAAACAAAGTAAAAAAAAACTGTGTGTGTGTCTGTGTGTGGGGGGTTTTCATAGATTAGCTGCCATGTGCATCAGAATATTTAAAACCTCCACAGGGTACATCATGTACTGTTCTCTTATTGCCTGAGTGCACAGACACAGACACACATTCACAGAGCCATTCAAACAGTCATGGATAAACACACACTTTAACACACACTAAGTCAGAGATAAACACACACATACATACACACACACACAGTCTGCATTGAAAGAGAAGACGGAGGCAAACTGAAGGCGCACACACACACACCTGCAACACACACGCGCACAAAAGAGAAACAGGCAGACCGATAGGATGAACAAATGAACAAAGACATGATAAAATGTAGATTTGGGGGCTGAGAAAGACAAAAGCAAAGGAGGGGGGAAAAAAACAAATGGAGGGAGGAGATGAAAGGGAGAGAATGTCTGTAGGGCAGATCAGAGCGGGTCTGTGGAGCAATAAAGCTGGCTAATCCTGGTTATGAGCCAGAACACACACAACGAACACACACACACACTCGCAGTGGCACAGTGACATTTCTGGTTGGGGTTGCATAACCGGTCTCACCCTCCACTCTAATCCTACTTGTATAACCAGCCATTCACTGCAGTTATATAAGCGCTCGCTCTCTCTCTCTCTCTCTCTCTCTCTCTCTCTCTCTCTCTCTCTCTCTCTCTCTCTCTTTCTCTTTCACACACACTAACATACTGACACACACACACACACACCTCTCCCCCTCCCGTCATGCCCCGCAGACTGCCAGCTTGTGTAACTTTCAGCACTTGATACCGCTGACGTTGAAGTCCTTTTTATCAGATATGGATTTCGGTCTTTCCACTCCACACACACTCAAATACACACACACACATGCACTGTGACGTCCATGCTTGATGTAACATCACACAAGTTGTGCTTGTGACTGAGCCACAGTTCACCACATCATTTGAGATAAATGTAACAAAGCCAATAAAAATATACTAGAACTAAAACTCATTGTTTTAATGGGAAAATCTGCAACCCAAGTTTTTTTTGTTTCTTAAGGTGTTTGTAAGTTTTCCTTTGTCCTGTGATCAAGGTTCTTCATCAGGTGGTGTTCAAGTCCTTTTTGAAAACAGTTGTTATACTGAGAGAGAAAAAGTCAGTCAGGTCTCTCATTCAAACAGGAATTCATTATAATATTTCTCCAATATTTCTTTGTAGATTGTGGTAGAATTTATTTGAATACATATGTGAAAATTGTTGAATCACAGCTGAATCAGCAGTTGTGCATCTGGAAGGGGCCTTGTAATGATTAGCATTGTTAGTGAGTTTGAAGATACGACTAAATGTCTCAAGTTTAGGCTGATCTGGCTGGAATGTATATGTGTATAGAGGAGGGACAAGATATCATGGCACGAAGTGTATGTGAGCCTTAAGAAAATAATAATCCCAGGTTTTCACCATTTGCAGATTCAAATTGTAAATACAAACAGTTTGTAAGTCTTTTCACCCCTTCCCTCTGTGCAGATGTGATCGATCTGAGCTCGAGCGAGGACGACGCCATCGTCCACGTAAGCAGCGCGTCCACCAACGAGGAAGAAGAGAGCGAGCCGAGCGGTGCACATGCAAACGACACCCTTAACCGACCAGACGCCCAGGGCAGGGTGCTGGTCAACTTAAACCATCCATCCGAAGAGAAGGACGTGTTCCTCTCGCCTCAGCTGGCGCGAGCTGTCAAACCTCACCAGGTATTTTTACTGTTGCACCCAAATCAAACCTTTGATGCTTCCGTCTGGTCATCCTCCACTCTTACTGGGATCCATTAATGGAAATAAATTATTTTTTCTACCATGCTGTAAGGATTATACTGGGAAAATGACCTTCTGTTGAATGATTTGACGAAAATTCGGCCTACATTCTATTTAAATGTTTCTTTCCCACCTCACCCTCTTTTCTTATCACTGCGGCTCCAACTTTCTCTTTTGTCACTATCTTCTCTCTCTTCTTTCCCCTCTTTCACAACTTCATCCTCCACCTCTCCCCTTTCCGCCTGCTCCTCAGATCGGGGGGATCCGCTTCCTGTACGACAACCTGGTGGAGTCGGTGGAGCGGTTCGGCAGCAGCACCGGATTCGGCTGCATCCTCGCTCACAGCATGGGCCTGGGCAAAACGCTGCAGGTCATCTCCTTCATCGACGTCCTGTTCAGACACACCCAGGCTCACACCGTGCTCGCCATCGTACCTGTAAGAACCTGTGCATTTAATGTTAGAGTACATGGACATGTGGAGCATTAGATAAAGACACGCAATATGCTCTGTGTGTAAATATAGTCAGAAGATTGACTCTGACCTTATATCTCTTAATTTCCATCCAGGTGAACACGTTGCAGAACTGGCTGTCAGAGTTCAACATGTGGGTCCCACCCCCGGAAGCGTTACCACCAGATACTGAACCGGGACTGGCGACGCCTCGCACCTTTAAGGTTCACATCCTCAATGACGAACACAAGTGAGTAACAGGAACAAGAATTTTTTTTTTTTTAGCTCTTCCTGTGTAAAGCCTGAATCCTTTCACCCAACCACCTGCTTTGTTCTCAAGAGGAATTTTTATTGATTTCTTAAAAAAGTAAGAATAAAAAACATCTATTTTTAAATCCTGCAGGGAAATTCAATCTTCCTCAGACACACGTGCATGCAGCAGGGTTTTAGCTAATTTAAAAGCCATTTCAGGCGGATTCCATTACATTCATGCAAAGCAGTGAAGAGATTTTCCATCTACCTTTTAAAAAAGACGGGGCTGACCTTCTGACCTGCCTCTGCACTTGATCCCCATATGGCTCTTCCTCTCTTCCATCTCTCCATCATCCTCTTTCTCAGCAGCTGCTTCTGCTGGAAAGACTTTCTGACTCTTGTGTGTGTTTGGGATTAGGGAGGAAGGAAGGAATGCTGCATGATGAGTGAACAATTCCATGATGCATCATGGTCTGACAGTGACACAGTAACCTCATTCTCTCGCTCAGCTCTGTTCAAAAATATCTACCAGCGTAACAACTCGTAATTAATTGGAAATCTGCAGAGCTGTTTTTTCTTCTCTTCTTTCTATCATTTGCTTTGCTTTTATTCAAATATTTCATACTTTTCAGCCTTGTAGTTCCACTTAAAGGTGCTACCAGTCACATTTTAAAACTGAGAGCAGCTCCAACATTTTACATTGTGTGCCACTGCACTCATTTAATATTTTGTAATAAATGTTAACTTTTGTCATATTTGAGGTATTTTTACTTGCAATGCCTTTGTACTAGTTTCTGTATTGCTTTGTACAGAAAGTAGGATTGTTTCACAGCACAAAGTGGGAGAGGTTGTTAGATAATTTCAGATAGAAGTGAAAGGAAGAAATACCATGTTCTCAGTTTTGAGAAACTTAACTGTTTTGTTTTTTTTAACCCAGGAACACTGCAACCAGGGCCAAGGTGGTGGAGGACTGGGCACGGGATGGAGGGGTGCTGCTGATGGGCTACGAGATGTACCGCCTCCTATCGCTTAAGAAGAGCTTTGTGGCTGGAAGGAAGAAGAAGAGCAAGAAATCAACAGGACCTGTGGTCATCGATCTGGATGAAGAGGACAGGCAGCAGGAACTGCTCAAAGGTGGGAGGGATAAAGGGGAGGGGACTGGGGGGAAATATGGGCAAAAACTGTAATATACTTGCTATGCTACTTTTTAAAGCACCAGTGTAGAATATCATTGACGATAATTGTCCTCCTCCTCCAGGTATCGAGAGAGCCTTGGCCCGGCCTGGTCCAGACGTGGTGATCTGTGATGAAGGCCATCGCATCAAGAACTGCCATGCCAGCACATCGCAGGCTCTGAAGAACATCCGAACCCGACGCCGTGTGGTCCTGACCGGCTATCCCCTCCAGAACAACCTGATCGAGTACTGGTGCATGGTCGACTTTGTTCGACCAGACTTCCTAGGTATGGGGCAATCATGGAGATGTTGGCAAGTCTTGAGATCACAAGACTGATTTGGTTGTTTGGCTTGTAACCACAGTTTTTACATCTTATGCATATTTCAGGCACACGGCAGGAGTTCAGTAACATGTTTGAGCGTCCCATTCTGAACGGGCAGTGTGTTGACAGCACACCTCAAGACATCCAGCTGATGAGGTACAGGAGCCACGTCCTGCACAGCCTGCTGGAGGGCTTTGTACAGAGGTGAGACAGCTGCCTTTATAATCTCTCAACTACTGCGGCGAAAACAAAACCTGACCTCCTTAAAACATTTGATAGAGAATACAAAGGTTTTACTGGTCAGACCCAATATTTTCCCACCTATTCTTCTTTTCTAATAACACTTTACAAAAACTGACTGTAACTCTTTATTCCAGACGAGGTCATGACGTCCTGAAGGACCAGCTGCCCTCAAAAGAGGAACATGTGATCCTAGTGCGTCTGTCACCCCTGCAAAGGGCGCTCTACACAGAGTTTATGAACCGCTTCAGAGAAGCAGGAAACACCGGCTGGCTCAGCCTCAACCCGCTGAAGGCTTTCTGCGTCTGCTGCAAGGTGAGGATGAGGAGGCCATGTGTGTGGAAGGCTACCTGATATTATATTACTGATATATACTTTTTTTAATCGGGTCCTGGATACAGTTACTAAAAGCTTTTATTTAAAAAGAAAATATCTTCAAAGTCTTCTTGCTCTGTCTGAGGCCTTGCTGTCCTTGTAGCACTGTTACATAAGTTATTATCTAAGTCAACATGTTTCTGCACTAAGATAAATTCCTGTATATATCATACTGGGCAAATCCAATGTTTGTCACCTTGAGAAAGTGTTTTCACTCCGCTGACATCCTGTCATTCTTCAGATCTGGAACCATCCAGACGTGCTGTATGAGGCTTTACAGAAAGAAAACCTGGCAAGCGACCAGGACCTGGACCTTGATGACATCACTACCACAGGTCCCGCCCCATGTCCAACCGCACCCAATCAAAAGTCGAAGCCCCTGGAGAATCCTAACCCCATTGGTGGACTGAGTCTCAACCAGCTGCAGGAGAAAGCCAATCAGGTCATCACTTACGAATGGGTACGTTTAAAGACTCGGACACAAAAGAGTAAAATTTAATATTTATGTTTTTGCTTTCTATAACATAAAGCTGCACTATGCAGTTCCATAAAAAAACAACTAATATTTTCAACCTAAAGTTAGGTCATAAACAGACAAATAAAACTCTGCCTTCAGTTCATTGCTGCCACACACAGCATAATGATTATAAATACTAATAGAATTATGAACGATCCATTAATCCACAATGATCCAGTACAAAGAGGCTGGACAACAACATCACAGTACAACATTTCTAACCATTGAAGTCTGCAGAATTTGAACACTTTCGGCCTTGTGGTCTTATTACACTCATCGGCCAGAGTCTTATTTGTCAGGCAGCAATGTGTGACTAAATATTCTGGTAGGAAGCCTAAACCTAACTGTTTTCAGTGAAATGGCAAAAAAATGTTGATACCTCTGCGCATGCTCATTATTGTATGATGTGAGCCATCATAAGATAACTTAGCTCACACTGTTTTTTGGGGGGATCAGAACACTTTTAAGTTAAATCCCACAATATATGTCACACTGAAGAAAGTGGAGTTGAGCATTTTAATACAGCCGTTACCCCAACTTGCTTATAAGGTTTGCAAACCAGCAATTTAACCATGTATCTTTAAAGTCAGTATAAGTTGCTTAAATAAGGACAACATCTAATGGGCTCAACTGTAAATGTAAGGGTGGTGTTTAATAGTATAGTAAATTTTAAGTCTGTTTCTTTCTTCACGTCAGGCAAAGGACATCATGTGTGACTACAGACCCGGCATCCTGGAGAACTCAGCAAAAATGGTGCTGCTGTTCCACCTGATAGAGGAGAGCGTCAGAAAGGGAGACAAACTCCTCGTCTTCAGGTATGCGATCAGACGACAGAGAGCAGTCGCACATTTTCACACTTATGGGATATAACAATTAAACAAAAAGAGTTCTAGCTAAACAAATTGACTTATGCAGCTAAGTGGGAAGGGAGAAGGGTTCTCCTTTTCTCACCTTTTATTTCCGGATTTGGTTAAGTTCTGCTTTGCATTACATTTGTATTACTGAAGCTTTTCCGGCATATGATCCAATCTCTGATTTTGCCTTTTGTCTGCCTCCTGCAGTCAGAGTTTGTCCACGCTGACCGTGATCGAGGATTTTCTGGCTAAGAGACCCGTTCCCCCATCGCCCAACATGTCCGGCAGAGACAGACCCAACCAGAACTGGGTCCGCAACCTCAACTACTACAGTAAGTGATCATTTATTCTTCAGTTTTTGGCTTAACAGATGCTTAGATATTAATCAAATACCTATAAACCTGCTATTAAAGCAAATTAACAGAGGCGGAGGCAGGTTGAGGTGACACATATGGTTTTTCTGTCCACTGTTCTTAACTGATAAATCTGCTTTTCTGAGGATTTTTCTGACTACAGTGGTTTGCCTGTGCAATGGTATGGCTCCAATCATTGACTTACAATGAGTGCTGCCATCTGCTGGTGTTTCTTGATAACAGCCAGACTTTGTTTTATGGTTCTCCACACGCACAAGAAGGAATTCACAGCTTTTGTAGTGTTGCTGTTTGTGTATTTCAGTCTTGTAATAACATAAGCTGCATCTGTTATTTTAGTAATTTCAACTAGGTGAAAGTGAACTATGTCCCCAGCTACCATATTTTGCACAAACGTTTTCTGTATTTGGTACGTATTCCCGTATTTAACCGATAGAAAAGCTATAATAGAAACTGGAGAATCAAATCCATAGGTTAAAGTTTGCATAACATGATCCTTGATTAGATACTAATATACACAGAATAGGATGAAATTGTATTTTACTTGAATTTCCCAAAGCTGCTGAAAACCCAGTTTTAACTCTGCATTGGTTGTGTGATGTCTTGAAGGACTGGATGGAAGTACAACGGCCTCAGAGAGAGAGAGACTTATAAACCAGTTTAATGATCCATCCAACACATCAGCTTGGGTCTTCCTGCTGTCAACCAGGTAACACACACACACACACACACACACACACACACACACACACACACACACACACACACAAACTAACCGCAATATTAATGACAGAAAACACATGTGAAATATTGAGGTCATGACATATAGCTATAACAAACACTGCTGCCCTCTCTGGGCCACAGGGCTGGCTGTCTGGGCGTAAACCTGATTGGGGCAAACCGTGTGGTGGTGTTCGACGCCTCCTGGAACCCATGCCATGACGCCCAGGCCGTATGCCGCGTCTACCGCTACGGTCAGAGGAAGCAGTGTCATATTTACCGGCTGGTGTGCGACTTCACGCTGGAGAAGAAGATCTATGACCGACAGATCTCCAAACAGGGCATGTCAGGTGAGTCAGAAAATGCATGGATGGGTTTAAAGAGAAGAGAATTGATGTCCAGGTGTTTTTCATTTCCTGTTGTTTACACTAAAGATGTAGTAGATTCTGTAAAATAGGCAATCTGTATCCTATTTCAGTCATTTCCCAGTTTGGCACATAAAATCGGTATTTTGGGTACATTTTTGTACATTCGTTTTATTTTTTATTTGACATCCTGAGAGTACTGGCAGACATAGGAGCATTGTCACATTGCATTAACCAAGGAAAGGGGGAAAAAAAGAACTGAACCACATATAAAACAGATCAGAATAGAAAATATAGAAGCCATATAAAACATATTAAAATACCACCCATTTAAATTCCTTCTTAAATATACAGATATTGTGTAATTCAGCTGACAGCTATGTCAAACATCTGTCAGTAATCAGACTTACTGAAAAACCCAGTCCTGGCTCCTCTGTGTGAACACCCAGCAGACAGACCCCCCAGAACTAAATAATCCGCTTTGTGTTGAAACCAGAGTTCCTCTGCCAAGAGGCTCTTGTCTGACAGAATAAACTGTCTCAAGTGTTTGCTGTAAGCTTTGACTGGCGAGACAGACACATTGAGGCCGCGTATGCTTTGGAGAGCTGTTTGAAATCACAATGTTCTCTCTTTTTGCCTCAATCATCCTCCTCTCTTCATCTCTCCTTTCTCATTCCCTCCATTAGACCGGGTGGTGGATGACCTGAACCCCGTGCTGACTTTTACCAGGAGGGAAGTGGAGTCTCTTCTTCACTTTGTGGAGGAGGAGCCGGACCCCTCCCAAACCCAGTTGCAGCCCCAGGACGCCATGGAGAGCGTCCTCAGGAAGGCGTTGCACTTCTATCCTCACCTGGTTACTAAGGTAGGTAAACGAAGGCAACAACACTGTCCCTATACGACCCCTAGAGGCATTTAAAAGTAGGAGATGCGGGGATGTTTCTGTAGGCTACATTGTTGACCAGCTTTAAATTTTTTGCATTGTTAACTTAAATTTTTGCAAAATTAGAAGAGAGATGATTGACAGTTCACTACTAATTCAATAATTTCACAGCTTGTTATGGTGGCTGTTTGAATGAAAATGTCAAAAATAATATATCTGAAGTGAGAACTACACCACACAGTTACAATTAGTCTTTGCTTTTTACTATTTTAGATGGCTTATGTGAGTCATCTCATACCTCATAGAAACCTGCTGGATTCTCAGTGGATGTATTCCAGACTGAACTCTTATAGCAAAAACTGAGCTCACAGCAATGCAGCTAATTCACCGGTATAAACTCGTGAAAAAGCAAGAATATGACATTGTGCTCCTCTGCTTCTCTGAAAGGGAAAGAAATATGAATGACCGCAATCTCACAACTTTTTTCTTTCCTTTGCTCCTTCCAGCAACCATTCCCCCACGAGTCCCTGCTGATAGACCGCAGGGAGCTGAAGCTGAGCAAAGCTGAGAAGAAAGCAGCGAAGAAAGGTTACGAAGAGGAGAAGAGGGCCTCTGTGCCATACACCCGCCCGTCCTACGCTCACTACTACCCTGCCAGTGACCAGAGCCTCACCAACATCCCCGCCTTCAGTCAGAGAAACTGGTCAGTGACTCCCAGGAACAATGACGGCCAACATAAAAATTAACGAACTAATGGAAAAAACTTTTTCCAGGTCTTGTTTAGTTCATTTATAATTATGCGTGTCAAAGTGCTCTTGAGTAATAGATACAAGTGACATAAAAGGACAAAAAGTAAAGGTTGTACATTTAGGTGCAGTTTCAGTTGGAGACAAGATTTTATGAGCTCAAATAAAATCTTTTAATTTTAGAAAAGGTTTTATAAGTGACTAATTAGCAAGGTTATCTAACATATAAACCTGGTTTTAATTCATGAAATGATAGTCATGAATTTATGAAACAATTATCTATCTGCTCAGGCGTCCACCTCCTCGTACTGAAGAGAAGCCAGTGGCCAGTGTGCGTCCAGTTCAGTCAACTCCAGTTCCCATGATGCCCCGACAGGCGTCTGCTGGCTCGGCTCCAAGCGACGATTCATCAGGATCCAGCCTCGGAGGTTTCCCTGTTAACTGCCTGCAAAAAGCTGGGGTGTTTGTACAGAGGATCGTCACCACTACTGGTAGGCAAACTGTACATGTAATGGACCTTTTGTAAACTAACTTTATTCTATTAAAACTTTTTTCCCCCTAGAATCATCAACTCCTCACAATATAAACTTGTCCTTCTTGGTCTCTTTCAGACATCGTGATTCCAGGCACCAACAGCTCGACAGATGTCCAGACCAGGATCACAGCTGGAGAGAGTATCCATGTCATCAGGGGCACCAAAGGTACAAATCCCTCTTTATTATACTCTTGAAAACGTATGCATTTGGCTGCTTTTTTATGTCTTGCATGATACTAAACTGAATATCTTAATTAATTAATTAGTGGTGAAAATAGTTGCAGATTAATAATGAAAAGAATCAGTTGTAGCCCTGTATGCAGTCACAATGCTGCAAAAGCATCTTCTCTAGGAAACATCCAAGCTTCACATTCACAGTGAAGCAGGTCAGAGTAGACTTTCTGTGTGTACTGATCATTTATTTTTATGTTGTCTGTTTTAGGCACTTACATCAGGACGTCTGACGGACGAATCTTTGCCATCAGAGCAGCTAATAAGGCCAAGAGTGCAGAGGAGAGTGCTACCGCGCCGCCAAAAGGTAGGATGATTGACTGAATTCCACTTAAAGCATACAGGAACAGAGATGTAAAAAGATAAGGCACTATGAGGTGAAGTATGACATAATTTAAGCAAATATTTAACCCCTTGTTTCTTCCTTCTCAGACTCCCAGGCCCCATCAGAGGAAGTGTCAACCAATGGCAGTAACGGTTGCCTGTCACCTGACAGGAAGCAGACTCCCTCCAAGACCGTTCCCCGCCCTCTCTCCCCTGACAGCCCAGAGATCATCAGCGAGTTGCAGCGCTACACAAGTGGCACAGGAGCCGGCGCCACTGCAGGCGCCAGAGCTCAACTAGAGGGGGCAGCAGAGAGCAACCTGCCTTCCACCAAACCGGTGCAGACCAATGGCAGCAGTGGGAGCAGTTTTGCAAGTGGAAATATGAGCCACCAAGATGCCTCTGTGACTAATGTAATCCAACCCAACATGGATGCCACTGCCGCCCAGGACCTGAGAACAGGCTCCAAGCGCAAAGCCTCCACCCCGTCCCTGGATGAGCGGCCCAGTAAACAGCCCTCTGCAGGCAAACACTCCTCAGCCACTCTGGCCTCACAAGGCTTCCCCTTCACTGGGGGCTATGGCCTCCCCCCTCTGGGCCTCAACCCCGCCATGTTGGGTGGGTCACTGGGGCACCCGCTCTTCATGGGGGCAGGCTCGCCTTACTTCCAGCCCCCCCACACTCAACTAGGGGACCCCACTTACATGTACCCAGATCTGTTTGGCTTTGGCGGGGCCAGTGCAGTCCCCACCTCCTCCTCCTCAACCACAGCCACTGCTACCGCCGTCTCATCTTCCTCATCATCATCTTCTGCATCAGTCAAAGCTGCCAGTTCGGTTCCAGGAGCCCTGCCGCCGTTCATACTGAGCCCCAGCATGGCGGGCATGGCTGGGATGCTCCCGCCGGGCTTCCCTCTCTCTTACAGTCCGTCCCTGGCGAGCCTCTACACAGGGTCGATGCTCCCAGGCGGGCTGCCGGGTCCCGCTGCCACACCGGGTCCAGCCGGAGCCAGCTTCCTCTCTCATTACCCTCCCACCGCTGCTTCTGGTTCCTCCTCATCTTCTCCTTCCTCCTTCTCCCCCTCAGCACGGTCTGAGGGCCCCCGAGGCCCAGTGCTGGTGAATGGTGGGAATTTTAGCAGCGCCAGCAGTTCGGATGATGACGATGATGTAATTGAGGTGAGAGGACAGTGACCGATGAGTGATGTGGTTGTTTTGAGCCAGCTTGATTCAATTTAATAATCATCAAAGTAGGATGACATCCTATTTGCCAGGATACAGGCTTTAAAGTTGCCTGTGGCCGAGGCTGCGAGGGAAATGGACAAAAAATGAAAGACAATTGAAGCACCGTCAACTGAGCCCCTGCTAAAGTGTTTCCTCTGTTCGTCTCTACTGCCTTGGAGAAACAGTCTGAGTGGGGATTGAACACAGACTGGACACAGAGTGACAAATCTTTATGCTGAATATCAGAAGCTAAAACCTGAGGAAGAAAAAAAGCTCCAGATGGAAGAAGAAAATGAAAATCAAAGGACTTTGGGCTTCCAAGTTTTTGTCCAATACTGGCATTGAAATACTGATCACTGGACTTAGTACTGCTGAGTGTGGGCCTGCAGTGACCACAAAGCGGCCACTAGTTGTACTGTTGACTTTAGAGATTCTAGTTCTGCAGCTTTGCTAAATGTCAAGACTCTTTTGCTTTTTTCAGCTAATTAACAAGATGACAGTATGTTGGAGTTGCTTATATTATATAAAAAAAAAAAGTTTGAGAATTAAGATAGCTGGTAGTGACGTTTGTTAAATATCAGTAACTGAAATGTTTGTCACTTGTCGAATATTGCTACTGAATTCTTAAAATGGTAAAACTAAAGGTAGAATGATCAAACAGAACTTTTAGAAAGCATTTTAATTTACTCAATAACTCACTGCCAGTACAGGGGGTATTGTACATTTTTGTTTTTGAAGAAAAAAAAAAATGGGGTCATCTTGAATCATTGAAGTTGAGGCTTTTTGAGGATGAGGTTAAAGACAATTACTGCAACCTTAACGCTCTAATGAAAGAATGTATGCTTAATCAAATGCCTTTTGAACCAGGCCTTTTTGAAAAGACTCCTTCTATTTCGGCATCAGACTTTGGAAGATCTGATTTTTCTTTTTTTATATATATTTATGTAATCTCTTTTACTTTTTAAAGAACCCCATTGCCTAAAAACAGCCAGGTGAAAATGAGAAAAAAAAACTGTGTTCTTGCGAGGTGTCCTCCTTGTAGCGGAGAAACAACCAACAGAAAATGCCTTTTTGCCTCCATCTTTCTGAATGTTAACTGTGAGAGAGGAGAGGTAAAGAGAGACAGGCGGTCACTGCGGCTCTCTGAATCTCACCCACAGTCTTACTGTAGCCTAGCGAAAAACGATGCAAAACACTCACTCAAGCCTATATATGTATTCGTACAAACCCCAGAGGAATTAATCTCGCAAACCCCCCGCCCCCAGAGTGTTGGTTACGCTCGTGTCGTTACTGTGTTCGTATCTGTGTGTTGTGTTTTTAAGGGTTACAAAAGGAATCGTCTTTTTAAAAAAATGAATAGGAACTTGTGTTACTCGGTTTGGTAACTCGTTCTAACAACAACACAGATTCCACCTCTGCTCTGCTGTGTTTCTTTTTCCTTCTCATTTTGTAAACACAGGCCATTGTGAAACCAAACTTTTTTTTCTTCTTTTTTTTTTTGGAGAGATGGTGTAGCCTTTGCCAAAAGAACGAGAAATGCACAAGCACATCAGAAACCTCCAGCGTAGAGGATTGTGTCTTAAGGAGACCAAATAATGTCGTCAACAATGTAGAGCAGACTTAAAATCCACCCCGGCAACACTCTCTGCGGCATCCTCACAGCCACAGTCCAAGTACATATCCATCTCTCTGTATGACCTTGCAGGTAACACCGTACACTGTACTGCACTGTAAAAGAGACACTAATCTGTATACATCTGTTGGCTGGTTGAAAGCTTCAACATGTGACCAAGTTCCCTTTAGATTAACCATAAACCATCGTTCTGCTGTTCCAATTGATCCCCTCTGATCACACAAACTGATCTGCTCTGGTCGGCACTGTCCTTATGTGGAAAATCTTCTCCTCCGAAATGGCTGCAGCGAGAGCTTTAAAAACCACCAGCTCTTTTGTGGAAAATGGAACATCGTTAAGTAAAGACTAAGCATTTCCTGTTCTTTCTCTTCCACGTATTTGTTCTCCATACTGAAATTGTTATTTACTTATGTTATAATTTTTGTTCTCCTCTTTTTACAATGTTTGAATTTACCAAATTAATTTATTTATGACGGTGCATATTTATTCATTTGTATTTTTATTTTTGTACAATGTTTTTTTTTTTTGTCTCCTTTTGCTGCTTTTCTTTATCTTGTTTGTAAGATTTTTGAGGTCATATTACTATCGTTGTTACTACGGATGGAAAACGCTTTGTTTTTTTCTGCCAGTCTGACCCAGCTCATGTGAACTCGTGCAGAACTTGCATGTGGACCAACCCATTGGTGCGTTACTGTGCACATTGAAAGCCAGGATAGCATCTTTAAGAAGGATCGAGTGAATATCATATCCCATTTACTGTGACTCTGATCAGCTCTTGATTATGAGAAATCCAAAAAAAGGACATCAGGGATACAGTGATATAACAGTTAAATATGATATTAAGCGGTGTTAAAACTCTTTTCTTATCTATATGAGCTCCTTCATCAGAATATCCTGCCTGTTGACATGTTTGTTCACAATTGGGATACAAATCTAAGTATTTTATCTGAATATGAGCCATTTGTGTGCATGTAAATGAAGCTATAGGGTTTATTATTATACCCATTATTTGGGTCAGAAACTGAGGCAGCCCAACCACAAGTGAGCTGGAAAGCAAAATAATGATATCAAGTGCTTCTCTTTCCTTTTTTTTTTGTTGCTCATTACCATATCATCAGAAATGTCCATCTGTGTCATCCCTACGACAGCAAACAAGCGAGTTTCCTCAGCGTCGAACTGTTTGGTTGTCAGCTCGGCGTTCGCTGCGCTGACTTACCGCTCTGTTATTTCACAGCTTTCTACTTGAATTTACATATTTATTTATACAAATCGATTCGGTCGGACAAGCCGACTGTCTCAATTCCATTTTAGCTGAGGAGAAGATTAAAGCTGCTGTCTTTAAGGATTGGCTCTAGTCAAAGCCTGTTTAGTTTAGCGATGGATAATGTGTATGACCTTGGATTACTTTTAGATCCTTCTGGGTTTTTTTTTTTTTTTTTTTGAAGTTTGTAAATAAAAAGAAACATGTTCTAAATAATACATTTCCTAATTTCTTTACATCAGTAGTAGTACACGCCCCCCTCCATCTCCCCCTGACACACACACACAAACACACAAACACACACAGGCAACAGAGCACATGTAAAGCTGAAAGCTTCCAAGAAAATGAACCAGTTTTACAGCCACATAAAGGGAATTTTCTCTCAACCACAACGCTATGAACAGTCACATATTAATGCAACTTTTAACACTGCAATCTACAATATATATTATATTTGTCTTGAAGTAACAAAACTTTGCATGCCTATTGTCAGTTAGTATAGATGTCATCTAACTAAGACCTAAGACTCAGACGTTAGTTTGCAGAATCACTCTGGGCTCCGTTTAAGAGAGAAAGTTTAACCAAAAGCCCTGAAACATGTACAGGAAAGAGCCACTGTACTGTAATTCTGATGGAGCTTAGAGTTCATAGTTCATTTTAGTTTCTGGTGGTGTGTTTTTCTATTTCCTTTGGATAAATGCGCTCAAAATAAGTCAGAATCTGGTGTCAGCTCCCGACAACACTTAATTCTGTGACACAATGCAGATAATATCAACAATACACATGTGGGTGTTTTACATGAAAATCTAATATTGCCTAGTTTTAATGATGTTTTACATTTTCGTCCCATGAAAAAGAGATGAGTACGAACTGGGCCAAAGCAATGTAGGCCAATTCACTATTTGAAACTCATGATGCATCATTTTACAGTATGGTAGCTGTAAATTATTACATCTTTATAAATCTAATGGACAATAAAGGCATCTGAATCTAATCCAAGCCATATAGTTAAAAGAAATTCCAAAATGAATCACCAACATTTCAGACAATACACATTTTACAGCACAAATTGGGTCGGCTAAAAGAAGCTGACCTCAATTTAGTTGTTGTCTGCTGTTGATTAATTTGCACTCATATATATATGTCAGTCCGTTCAATGTTATTGCTTTTGGCGGTATATGTGATCATCCTGTTCTTGTAACGTAGTGGTAAGATCAATTGAATGTAACATCGAGGGTAAAATCTGGGTTTGGTTTGTACTGGCCCGCTTTCCTCGTCCTACTTTGATGGTCACTCGCATACTTTCTGTGTGTGTGAGGCCTCCATATACTAGCAGATGTTTGCTTGTTGTCATCCTCTGAAAACAAAAAATATGTTTTCTGAACCATTGTGCAAATCCCATATGTGTGCACCAGCCTTTATTTTGCAGGTTACTTGAGTTTTCAACTTGTTGGTTGTGTCATATATAATTTAATATATATTCTATTTATAACACACCAAAAGAGGATAAAATGGATAAATATAATGACTATATCCACGTCCATTACCAATGAGAGGTGTAATAATGCCTGAACAAGGAGTATCTTGTGTCATTAGATTGATGTCCTGCACACAGAGGGTGATGAACAAATGACTGAAAAAACCCATCTCACTAGCTAACTTGCATGGTTATTAAACTGCAGAGCCTGATTTATTCGATCTCATCTCAATTTACCAGCCACAATGACTGTAAATTGCAAAAGTCACATCCACTTATCACTACAGAACTAGGATTTTAGAACTAAATTGTGCCTACAAATTTCTAAGCCAGAGTACTTAAAGTTATCAGCTAGAGCCAGAAATAAATCCGTGGCTGGCTGGCGGTAATATCCAGAACAGACTGGCCATGTAACTTGATTTTTTGAGTGCATGGGTCTCCGAGTTATCGATAATACTATGGTATATGAGTGCTTAATTTTGGGAAACTACAGAGCATGTACCATGAAGCACACTGAATATCATCTCTATTATTATTATATTCAGTGACGGCTGTGATCTTTATCTTTCTGTTTCTGTAAACTTTGAGTGAAGGTAGCTGTTTAACTTTGAGTGAAGGTAGCTGTTTGGTCTGTGTCCTTGTTCCATGTTTCCTTGTTACAACTTATTTGTATGTGGTTTGTCCTTTTTTGTAAATGTGATGTGAGTTCTAATTGTTCAGAATAAAATGACTGCATCTGTTATTTGTGTCTTTTGTGTGTAATGTCAATGAAAGGCTTGTTTGGAGATTAAATGTGCAATTACCCATTTTGAAGTGAACAATATTATTACAATACTAAATATCAAAACAATAATATTTAAACAAAACTACAGGGACAGTGTGACCTAATATCTAAGTGAAATAATAATAAGTGAAATAAAGAAATAAATTATATCAATATCTGTTTAATAAGGAGCAAGCAAAGCTTTTAACTGTGGTGGAACTCGACTTTACTGTAGATCCCTTAATATCCTTTAAGTAAGGTGGTGTAGGTATAAATACTGCATCAATAAATATTAAATATTAAAATATTTATATGTAAAAGCACAGAAGTATTATCTGCAGAATCTACTTAAGGTATGGGAACTAAAAGTACTCATTATGCAGAATAGCTCCTTGCAGAATGTCATATAGACAATAATTGGCATTTACAAGTTAGCTGCCTTTTAGTGTTAACAAAGTTGATTTGTTGATATTTTGTGCAAACTATAAATGTTATTAACTATAAATGTAATGCAGTAAAAGGTAGCTAGAATATTTTTTATTTTAGTATAAAGTGCCTGAAAATGTAAATCTCCAGCTTGTACTTAACTGTACTTTGTATAATACTTAATAAAAATACTTTACAACACAGGCATACTTATAAGACCTAATTATTAATTCATTTCAACGCTACTAAACTTACTTTTTGTTGTCAACGTCAATTACTCATTGAAGAGAACTCGGTTTCCCAGCGTGCTCTGGTGTTGAAAAGTTACGTGACTTGACGTTTTTTCACCGATTGTTGATGACGGTGGCAGGCAGCGCAGGTCAGTATCTGAGTGGTGTTACTGGGAGGAGGAGTGCCAGTCAACATAATATAATTTCCTCCGGCGACCTGCAGTCCAACCACGGAAGAACAACTGAATAAACGAATGAAGCAACGGTAGTATGAAAAACCTGTGAAGTATCCGCGAATCGACGCTGGTTCAGACGCGCTTCTAACATTGTTTTGAAGGCCTGTTGCTAGCCACGGGAAATCCTCGGGCTAGCCCGGGAGACACCGGGCCGAAAGAGCGCAGAGGTCCGGGAAAGGAGCTCCGTGGGCTAGTTTAAACGATCAGGTTTTACGGACGCTAGCTTCCCTATGTTATAATCAAAGGAATACGTAACCTCTCCTGCTCCTCCGTGGCTGATATAAATCAGCGTAACTCAAGACGCTTTGAGTTTGACAGCTAGCTAACATTAGCCCTCCTGTGTTTACAAGCTAAATCAGAAGAGATCCTCTGAACAAGTGCACTTATGTGTATTTGTTTCAGTTAAGATTTGCGTATTTGGCTCCCACCACCAGCCTGCTAGCTGGTGGTCATTTGTAAGCTTGTTCTCTTTCTGTCTACGCCGACTGAAGGTCGCCAGCTAGGCAGCTAGCTAGATCAGAAGGTCTACTAGCTGAGGTTATCACATCTTCAGGCTTATCTACTGCAGCCCAAAGTTGTGTTACCTTGCTTGATCTAGAAAAATTGACCTTACGAAGTTGAATACCAAAGCTATCTTTAACCACCTCAAAGACAGTATCCCGAATGAAGGCTCACAGAGAAGTGTGGATTTTGATGCTGTCCGGACATACAGGTGTCACCTGTTCTGCTTGGCATTAATAATCCCACACCAGCGTCCAACATCTGCTGCACCAGAAGCTACTGATCTGCTGATCGCTCTCTTGAGCTGACTTGCTCAAGAAAGATCCTCAACTGAACCGACCACAATGAATCGTTACCTGCCGGTGGCACGACAGCACTTCCTGGCTGCCCTTGCCAGCACCAGTGTGGTGGTAAAAAGTATAAGTGCTGTGGTGGTTCTCCTCTATCTGCTGTCATGGGCCGTGGACACTCCATACGCACTGGGGGTGACCCCGGGATACCTCTTTCCACCAAACTTCTGGGTGTGGACACTGGTGACCTATGGGGTGGTGGAGCAGCACGTCTGGGGCGTGGCAGCCAACGTGGGGACAGTTATGGCCTGTGGGCGCCTGCTGGAGCCTCTGTGGGGTGCTCTGGAGCTCCTGATCTTTTTCGCAGTGGTCAATGTCTCTGCAGGCCTCCTGGCCGGCCTCTCCTACCTCCTCACCTATGTTGCCACCTTTGACCTGGACTTCTTGTTTGCTGTGCGTATCCACGGAGCAGCTGGGTTCCTGGGAGGTGTCCTGGTGGCGTTGAAGCAGACCATGGGGGATACCACAGTGCTGAGAGTGCCACAGGTGAGAATAAAAAAAGTAATTTCTGCCCTCTGTTGATGCTTATTGGCAAAGGGTGTGCTCCTCTCTTGAACCTGTAAATATTACTAGACCAGCAAAGATAAATGGAGAGTGTAGCCCAACAAGAATGTAAACAGCACTGGAATACTAACCACTAGTTCTTGAGACGTGTACATAAACAAGCCTGTGTCCGTTTGTACCCGGCACACATAAAGAATGCCCCCACTTGAGTTACAACACTAATCTATATAGATGAATAAACCATCTGTGTTTGTGTCTGTCTTAGAAGTACTGACTATTTACTGTGTGCATAATTAATAACCTAGAGTGAAATACTCAAATGTACATATTTACCAACAGCATTGTGTTTGGCACAAGAAAGGGTTTTGCAAAATAGCAAAAACATTTTACAGTACTACTGACAATTTAAAGGAAAAACCAACACAAACCTCCAAGTCTCTGGAACCATCTCTATTATCTGATAGGTGATTCACATCATTTTCATTCTCATGAAATCATTCAATGACCCCTCTGTGTCCGATATCAAATTATCTGCATTCGTCATGTTTTTCCTTTAATTTGCCACCTGTCTGTATGTCAGTGCTATGGTGATGCCCATAATATTTGGTTTTTCATTTGACACTCAGGAATGTTGCTTTGAGTCACCTTTGAGGGGGTTGTTTGTGGCTCTGCATGAAAACATCCTGTTAGTAACCCTTTAGAGAAAAAACACCTATTAGAATAAACTATTGGCTTAACATCACTGTAAACTGAAGGTTTCAGAAAGACAACTGAGTTGAATCAACACTTTTAACACTAAAAGACTAAAGAAGAAGAACAACAAACACATTTATATCTTCTGCATGGCTTTGTATAGAAAAGTGTCCCAGTGTGTCTGTTCCCATATTCTTGAATTGTGTTTTATGCTGGTGGCCAGTGTGACTTGGTTTCTCGTGATCTCTAGCCTGGGAACCAGACACATCTGCGAGTGCTTGCATTTGTAAATTAGTCTGGCAATGCTAGGCCAGGGTATCTATGTTTGTGTTGAACAATTTTCAATTTGTTTTGGGATCCATTCATTGTTTTTATGGCTGCTTGGTGTGTTAATGAATATGAACTATTTTGTGAGCACTTGCATATTGGACAGTCAAATTAGAGTCAAATACAGTGATCATGTTATTTTATTACAGCTACATAAGCCAGTGGCCAACAGGCCAACCGTTGAGCTGTTGAGTGTTTGCTCTACTTGGCCCGTGTCCTCTGGTTTAGAGATGTGATTCTCTTCCAAATTGTGTGATCTGTTAATTTACATTTTAAGATTAAATCTGATGCTCTAATGCAGAGCAGCTTATACTGAGTGTGCAGATAACGGTTTATTTTTTTGCTGAAGCACACATTAGCTACACATTCCTAATGTGTCTCTTAAACTACCATGCCACTCTGCTTTAACTGCCATTATTTTTGCTTGTTGTGACTTTGTATAAAACTGGGTTACTTCACTCTAATCTCCCTCATCTCAGCTGAGCAGGTTAGGGAATGTACCCTATCGAAATGCTGGTACATTTTGACTATGACTGCTGCCTGCCACCCTGGCATGTAACCAGCTATTGTTCGGTGTTCCAATTCCTGAATCTGGCTGACTTGAGTGAATTGTGGGAACTGGCAGCCACAGTGGTCTGTGGACAAAATGGCAGCTGTCCCTTGATGTCCCCTGAGGATTTATGTTAACACTTAAATCTGTCTCCCCTTTGCATTTCAGGTGAGACTCAAAGCAGCACCAGCTTTGGTCCTCCTCCTCCTGGCATTACTGCGCCTGTCTGGCCTGCTGGACAGTTCTGCCCCCCTGGCTGCGTACAGCTATGGCGCCCTGTCCGGTTGGGTCTACCTACGCTTTTACCAGAGGCACAGCCGGGGCCGCGGGGACATGTCGGACCACTTTGCCTTCGCTAGTTTCTTCCCTGAGGCACTGCAGCCAGCCGTGGGGCTGCTGGCGGGGCTGGTCCACGCCGCCCTGGTGAAGATAAAGGTGTGCAGGAAGATGGTGAAGAGATACGACGTGGGGGCGCCTTCCTCCATCACTATCAGCCTGCCAGGGACGGACCCACAAGACGCAGAGAGGAGAAGGTGAGTCAAAGCAAAGACGAATGAGTTTGACGTCTGCATACATACGCAGCGTCATCAAATATCTGATGACAGGCCAATTAGAGTCTAGTATGATGGAGGTACCTTTGTGACCAGCTGCAGAAAAGCATCTGGTAAAATGTTGTAGTCATCAGAGTTTTACTGTTGTTTCAGAAGCTTTTTCACCCAACAAGAATAGTCAGAAGAAATACTGAATACTCAAAAATATGTGTTTTTTCTTGTTCCTCTAGTTTGATGTTTGATCTTCACTGTGCAGAATGATGTATGTGCAGAGTGTGACACTAGAAGGGTGTTTCCACATTCATCTGCTGAAAGTGGAAAGTTTCTCTGTGCTCATTGAACATCTGATTTTAAGGGCAAGCATGATTTGTAAATAGGGCCCGTAACGTATGTGTGATGTAGAAACCAGCGCACGTACACTGAGAATGGACTTTACAGTGAAGTAGGAGACATCTTGTGTCCAACAGAAAAACTTTAGAAACTAATAAAATGTGTATATTCATAGATTCTGGGACTTGTAATGAGGTAGAAGGAGTAGATACCTTTTTTAATGATTTTAATGTGGAAAATATGCTTTTTTTAAAATAAATATATCAGACACGCATGTCTATATTGCTCCAAGCAGACTATATGTCTTAATACATGTCTGGAGGGGATATTTAAACTTTAATACAAAATATAGTTGAGGTTTAAAGGTCATTATTGACCTGGGAAACAGCTGCTGAGAATACAGTCTCACCTCGAGGTCCATTTAGTAGCTGTTCCAGAGAGCTTTCTGTCTATCACATGATGTTCATCAGCAAACTATTGTTCAGTAACATTATTATTATTAAAACTATAACTGTTGTCACGAAAAACCCATATTGAGAAGTCCAGAATGCAGGCAAATATTAGAAAAGAGTAATAAAATAAACAAACATGCCCATATAGTCAAACCAGAGACATGGCACAGAAACCAGTGTTGTTTTTAGTTTTTATTTACTCAGGGAAAGTTCGCTGAGCCGCCGTGCTCTTTTGCAGTCAGACCGTTCATACATGTCCAGGCCTTAGCTCTGCCACACACAGACTCTAACGCACTAACACCTACTGTCAAGCTGTCAGAGGTTATTTTCTCTCCTGTTCCATTGTCTGGCAGACACACTTCCAAGCTGTCATACAGATTTGGTTACGGACAGATGTCATTTTTCTCTCTCACAGACACAAACACACATACCAGCCTGTGCTCCTGTAATTGTCCTGAAATTACTACTTTTTCTTCTCTCAATATTTCTGTTTAATGTGTGGGAGCACATTTAGCACTTGAAGCCTCCCTGTTGGAAAAGGTTACGACATCAAACACGTATCATTACATTTTTATCCAGTAGCTGGTTTCTGGAAGTATGTTTCAGTCTGCATTACTACTTATCTTCTGGGTAGTGTTTTCTTTCTTACATGATTACGCACAAAATATGGCTTCTATCTGAATGAGGCAAAGGCCTCTGTAAATACTTGATTTTGATTAGCTAGTGATTGAGAGGTCTGCCGAATGGGAAATGAACGTTGTGGTGATTATATGAAAAGTAATTGGTACTTCACGAGTGCAAGTGGGGAGATTAAATCAACAAAAGATGAGTTTAATTCCAAAAATGATCTTGCCAGCATTAAAGAACAGTATTGGCGAAAAATGTTATTTCCATTTTTTTTACTACCAGCTTAGTAGTTGGATACATTTTTATTGTGAATTCACCCCTTTACCAGTCTGTTCTTATTATGTAGGACACTTCACAAGGCAGGGAATGAGAATGTCTCTGTTTTTCTCTTCAATCTATGACCACAGGAATGTAATCTGATCACAACGTGGAGACATAAGATTTGCAATGCTATTATATTATTAGTATTACAGAGCAATTGAAACATGTACATCTTATTTGAACTATGATCCCTTTTTTTTATATTGCATTTAGCAACAGATATAGATTGGTCCCACCATCTGACTCTGATCACTGCATAAGGGCAGTATTTAACATGATACATGACAGCAGTTGAACTTTGTGTGCTGCATGTTTAGGACGTTATGTTTGCAAGACAGATGAGCGTTTACTCTCCTTAGTTGTCTCTTGTTGTTATTATTGCTTTACAGGACTTGTTTCATACATTTATGCTACGGAAGCATCATCTACGTGGGAACATTAAAACAATCAGAAGCAGACCTCCCTTGAAGCACAGCTGTACAGTGGGACTAATGCTTCTCTTTCCCTCTTCCTTCCAGACAACTGGCCCTCAAGGCTTTGAACGAGCGCCTAAAGCGCGTGGAGGACCAGTCTGCCTGGCCCAGCATGGACGACGAGGAAGATGACGACGATGAAGAGGTCAGAACCGACACGCAGCCGCTACTCCCGGGCGGGCGCGACCCCTCCTCCACGGCGAGATCAGCAGGGGGACCCACCGGCGCCTCCCTCTCCTCCACCTCCTCGTCCTCGGTGTCACAGAGCAGCGGGGCGCAATCGATGGGAGGAGCGCAACACCCAGAGTCCAGCATTATCAGCTTTGAGGATGCACCTTCTAGATCGTAACAAATAGAACGCACGTGTACAGAAGCACGCTCCGTTCGGTGTCACTGGCAGGTTTTACTAGTGTATTCTGACTAGTATACAGATATATTCAGTGACCGTGATTAGGCACACACTCGATATCACACACGCCAACACACACAACATCTTTGACGAGTTCATACACACAGCCTGTGCGCTCACAAACACTCTGTCAATGTCATTGTGAAGCCCAAAGGGGTGGTAACTGTACAGTGCTTTCAGTTCAGACATGTTGGTTGTAAATGCTCAGTGTAGTTGGGCAAACTGGACACTTAATACTTCTCCTCCTTTCCGCATACGACGAAATTCTGTCTTGTCTGGACTTACTTCCAACTTGCAGAGCTCTGTCCACTGCTTCATGTGTCTCTCTCTCTTGCTTTCTAAATAAATAACAAGATGGGTGTACAATATTCTTTTTGTAAATCTTTTTCGGAGCAGCCACACTTGTTTTCTGATTGTCTGCCACGAGAAAGCCGCCAATGACAGAGACTCACGTGCTGAATTCTCGATGAAAGGCCGACTCTAGGCCGGCTGCAATGGACATTAGCTTTTGGTTCACTGGTTCTAAATATATAACCAGGTGTGTAATGGAGGAAGTGTGAAAAGCTCCAATAGCTGGAACCGAGGAAAGAAGCTGCTGCAGGTCTGTCCTGCTAATGAACTATGATACAAAACTTCAAGATTTGAAGAGGTGCCAGGTGAAAAGAATTTTCCAGACCAGGTTCATTAGCCGCCTGGTGTCTCTCTGGAACAACAGGCAGAGAAATGGACTATTTACCCATTTTTTTTAAATCCTTGATAATTCAATGGAGAACAATTCTGTATTTTATTTTTCTTCTGGGTCTGTTCATCTCTAAACAAAATCAAAACCCTTTGTTTCTTTGCACTAATAAGACATGTTAATGGCGTTACACTCACACACACACATCTGGGGGATGATGATTATTCGTCTTGTTTTACTGAGTGAGTTTTTGGTTAACTACTCCTGGAGCATCATCCTGCATCCTTTTACACTTCCACCTTGTGGGGTCGGAAATGATACAAGAATCAGCAGTAGCTATTCAAGTATCTGGGTGCATATGATGCAGTGGTCCCTGTCTGTCATGGTTGTTAGTCATTCAGCACCATTACAAATGCAGAGAAGGGTTGCACATGCAGAGTTTCTGTGGTGTCAGACTCTTGTTGTATCTCAGACACTGACTCATGAGGATAAATGACTCCATCGACAGAGTATGTCTGCACTGATCAGTCCGCCAGCCCAGTATTTCCCAGTCACATCCTTTGCACTTTCTAAAATCACAGTGCCATTCAGGGCCAGCGGGGAATCATTTTCGTGGGAGTTTGATGGGCAGCTAAATTGTTTCATATTAAATGTTTTGTAAATTTTGTGCAGACCAAAAAGGTCAGTGGTTCATTCATTTTGTAGACAGTCATCACTGTAGACGTCACAGTCTATTATGGTAATGACCAAATCATTGATTTCCCACTTCCCCACCTGTCCTTGTTGGTTAAAGTCAGTTGCAGCCAATAAATTATTTCAGACGTTGGGATCACAGCAATGACAATCTGATGAATTACTTTTCCAACTTGTGAACTTGTGATCACAAGGTTGAAATTGTTTCCAAATTTGAAAGAGAACCACACTTCTGCATTTTCATATTTAACAAGGAGGATAAAGTACCAAAGGCAACGTCCACTTTATCTCTCACCCCACCCTCTTCCCTGTAAAAGTGGCCTCGTAGATTAAGTTGCAGATTGTTCCTGGTCTGACAGCTGTTGTGTCTTTGTAGGTAGCCAATGCGTTTGTTCCACAAACCATCTCGGAAACTTAAAGCAATCTGACTGATGGTCGCTGCTGTTTGGTTTTGATTTGACTCAGCAGGTTCCGTCAGAAGCCTTGCAAATGAAATGAAATCCGGGAGCTATGCAAAATGTTTGGATTAAGTACAGAAATGTGCTGTTACATGTTTAATTTAAAGCTTTTCATATTTAATAATCTGACGTTTTCTTTGTGAAGAATAATCTTGCAGTGGCCTTTGCTGATCATTTATCACCGACTGAGTTAGGATACATCAAATTGAAAACGGACCAAACCATCAGTTTAAATGTAAAAAAAAAAAGACAGCTAGCTATTTATGACCTGCACCATTAATTAATTATTATTATCCAATCCCAAAATGTAATTAATTACATTTTAGGATTGGATAAGTTCCAAAGCTGAGCAACCAGAAAAGAATATTCATATTTATCAACAGCCTTATTTAAATAGCCCAGAATGCTGTGTAAACGTTTTATTCATATTTGTGGTAGATGATGTAGGAAAAAAGTTTGGGGTTCTGTGGAAACAATAAGCCCACAGACAGTCTCAATGTCTTGACATGAACTTGGCTCACACATTTTATAGTGTAGTTCTAAGGAAGAACATCACATTTTGATAAAAAGAGGAACTAGTGCTGTGTGACTTGACACCATGACACCAGTTTAGGAACATGTGCTCCTGAGAAAACACTGACAACACCTGATAAATTGAAAGAAAAAAGAAAAAGATCACATTAGCAGTCTGATATTCAAACTTGCAATGGCTTTCATTTTGTCCCCCTAGTTTGCCAACACATGCTGACATTTTAATCTGACAGTGTGTTCCAGATTAACGTTACAAAGTCTGGAAAATTCAGATTAAATATGTAGAGTTTGATTTTGGATTCTGAAGTCCAAGCTTCGAGAAACAGTTGCTTTTCACCTGATGATGGTGTTATGTATGGGAAGTGATAAGCCATATTAGAGTGATGAAATTCTGTGTGTTCTGTCTTGTGTTTCTCCTTGTTCCTTCTGCTCATTTCACTGTGCTCTTATTTTAGCAAGAAGAAGTTTACGTTGCACGAGTGGGGCCATTCTTTAATTATGAATGAGTGATGGTATTTATATGAATGGAGTCGTTCGGAGTGGAGAAGGTTGAGCTGCAGTCAAATATCTGAAATCTCAAACTGCAACCTCTGAAATATTCACAGTAGTAATGGAGGAAAAGTGTCCAAACCAACCTGTACATACAGTAATTACTGATAGTAATAGCAACAATTCACACTTTTATGGTGTCATTCCAGTATTGTTGTTCTTTCAATTTACTCTGGAAATAGCATGATATTTCTTTAGCTTAGCTGCCTGCACAACTCAGCTTGCCTCACATAGTAAAAATACAACAATACAGCAAAACACACTCAAACATGGACACCTGAAGATAACTGTGAAGTTGTGTAGTTGTGTAATGATCAGTTAAAAGGCGTAGGGATGTTGCAGTTGGCAGTCTGAGATTTCAGATTGAACCCGGCGGTCTGACTTTCAGCCAAACCTCTCCGTCCCGTCCGTTCCCTTTTTGTTTAGTTTTTTTCTCTTTCTGTATTCCCATTTGTTCTGGCTGTAAACATCCTAAATGAGAAGAAAGGAATGCAATCACATACTGTCTTTGTGAATAATGCCAATTTACAGTTGGTGTTGACAAACTAGAGAAGCTACAGGTGAGGATAATGAATGATGTCAGGACTGTCACTGGGATTGTGGAAGTGCTAAAAATGCTCTCATTGAAATCTGGCTGCATACACGGTTCATACATGTTTTTGTTTTTTTTCCTGTACACCAATATCTTGTCATTATTAAAGACACACCACAGGCAGGTAGACTATTTTTAAACTTCAGCAGGTGCTTTCTCACTTTTACCCAAACAATTAGATTTTCCCTGAGTGGTTTCCTGTCAAAGTGGCCGACAGAGAGGACAGATGACCCAGATTTTGTCTGCATCTAACTGTTGATCACGTCCCACTTGGATGTCCAGTTTCTGTTGTACGAGTTACCGATCTTTACGGAAAGTTAATGGGCTTTTAATGTGACCAGGAAATAAAAGGCCCAACAATTTAAAATACTAGTTTTTAAAAGTTGTTCATTTGCAGGTACTAATTGAATAGTAGCCATTACTGTAGTGCTTCATATGTTGCTACACTGAATAGTGCCTCTGTGCTTTCATTTTAGAAACCCTTCTGTTCTAGTTTTAAGAACCAGTGGCTCCATTATGAAACCTCTTTATATGTATAAAGTAGACACGGCAACGTGACTACATTTGCAAAATCAGTAATCACTTGAAATGGTTGAATTTGAATTTTTAAAGTGTTATATTCAATTATTCTGGTAGCTTGACTTATATTTTAGCCACTTTGGCAGGCAACACATTCCCTAAAATATAACTTTGGTAAAATAGTGACACCAGCCTCCAGGACTTGTGGATGAAAGCTGTTTTCCTACCCTAAAATGAATGACAGATTGCATAAAATTCATTCACAGCAATGTTTTTGTTGTTTTTAATAGTTTTCACTACTTTAATTTTCCTTATCTGTCCCTCCTTTCACACCTACAGGTCTCGTTGATACTAATGACAGTCTACTTCCCTCTCTACTGTGGCTGTTGCACAGACTTTTCAGTTTTAGTTTTCAAATATATTTCTTTATCTATATGAAATAAAAGACGATTGTATGAAATCAAAACGAGTGTTTCAGTTTGTTGTGTTACTGTTGTGATATTTAATGTCCCGCTGTGGATGTACATGTGATTTTATAATAAGGACAGACTTTACTATAAGAAGGTGGTGGGGTTGCTCAGTGTTTGGACCCTGTACATCCCACAGTTTATTCTACTGAATTATTGAAGAGAAAATGTGAGTGGTCTACCAGATCCTGAATATTTGTAAAGTTATCATACTGACATGAAATTTGATAAGCCCAGATAAATGAATACTACACATGGTGGTATTACAAGATGAATCAGTCAATATAGAGTCATCCTTTTAACAATTCAGTCTTGTACTCTCTAACATACAGAATGTTGAACCAGAGACTACCATAGTGTTGTGGTATGACACAAAATAATGAAGAGGGTTGGAAAGAGTGCTAGAATAGCCTACATAAGTCATAAGTTTACCTTAATGTTAATACAAACTATGAAATAATCTTTATTCAGGAATACTAAACCAGTATGATACCCTTAAAAAGACTTGACTGTCTAAACACTTGGTTAAAGGAACCACTTCAACATATGTTCAATATATACTGGCCACTAACCAATGCCTCTGCAATTCATTAATTGCTTAATTCATTGATACTGTAAAAAGTAGTAACAACAGTCTATATAAGGACATAAATTCAAGTTAAATATAATTCTGACTGGACTATAACAGCATAAATGTTGGTTGTTCTAATTATTAGTAATTAATAAAGTCAAAAAACTGAGGGCAGAATTGTAGATTGTACAAAAAGTACACAAAAATAGCCACTCACTTATACTGTACTTTTGTCAACAACAATGGAAATTTAAATATCTACATTTCCAAGACAACTGGACAAACTCATAGCTGAGGAAGCTCATATGATATGATCTACTCAACGGCTTGTCAACCACTGTTTTCAGGTCAGTCTCAACTACCTAACTACAGTATCAGCAGTACTAATTAAACACCTTTCGGCCTTACAAAGTGTCCTTGTACAAATCTCTCTTATATTTTACATGATTTGTCCTCCAGTTTTCTGAATGTGTTCAGTTACCCCAACCGACCAGCAGGTGGAGCAGTAAGTACAGACCACTATTTGGACAGTTTAACTCAGGGACGGTTATAATGACAGAAAGTTACAGCCTCACTGTTGACAAAGCTATGATCTACACTACGTTCCTGCAGTAGAGGAGCTACTCGCTATGATGGGCTCAATTAACTCTGATTACGGGAATAATTCACTTGGCTCAAAGCAATCTATATCACAGTGGGGACATATCCCCAGCATATAATTTATACTGGACCATTAAATGAACACTGGTTTAGCCAGAAGATTAAATTAGTAATGGTTTAAAAACACCAGTTAGGTAATATACTCTACAGTGAGTGTTATAGATAGATAGATAGATGTAATAATAAACCCAGTAATACAAAGCGATATATTGGTAGATTAAAATAGAACCAGCTACAGTTACAACTAAACACACGTGAACCCTCTGACGGTGATGAAAATGTCACATCTGAAAATATAATAGTGTTTATAGCTCGACCAGAGACGTAATTGTACTGACGTTACAGATGTCCATACAGTCCACGAGCCTGAAACTCACACACCTCGTGCCCGCGCAGGTGTGGCTCTCATGCTCGTGCCCGTCACCCCTCCCCCCAGCTACAAACTACAAACCCGGGCGGCGCGCGCCCGTGAAGTGATTCATTGTATCAGATCGAGACGGGAGGAAGCAGCGAGAGACTCGACTGGTCGGCGAAGCAACTCTGCTCCGGGAAACACTGAAATATCCGACTGCTAGCCACATAAACTGCAGGTAAACTACTTTCTGGAATACCAGGTCGCTGTGAAGAGCTTCGTCTTTCGTATTGTTGAGTTTAAAAGCGGACAGGATTATTTTAAAAGTTGTCCGGGAGCTTTGAGAGGCCGCGGTATCAAAGCTAAAAGCTAGCGAGGTTAGCTGACGGTAGCTGAATTAGCTTTTCCCCTAACCGACCTCAATTTCAGCGCCGCTTCCGCAGTTGCCGCACAGTTGTGGCGAGGACAAAACTGCTGTATTTTAAGTGTACGAAAGTCCCGTGACCAAAACACCATGGCCAGACTTTGTCGAGGGCTGTTGGTAAACTGCGAAAACTTAAGTGGTGCTTATAAACTGGAGCCTAAAGACTGGCCTAGATTGGCGATCCAGCCGTAGCCAAACAATGAGGCTTTTTTTCTTGACTTGCCTCGGCTGACCAGGCGGCTTCCCTACGGCTCAACGTCTCCTCTTATGCAGCTGGTAATGGTAGTTATATATGAAATGTTTATTTTCAGGTAACATCCCAGAAACTGTGAGGAACAAATAATCCAACCAGTGTACGTTATTGCATCATCAAATTATCACCGTTTTATCTCTTTTTGCAGAAGATCATAGAGCACCCAGTCTCCACATGTAGGAGATTGGAAGTTGAATGGCTGTGTAACATGAGGTTTAGTCAGGTATCATTTTCGCCTGTGAGAAGTCTTATATGATGTATGAAATGTGTGGGTCTCGCTTGGTGTTTAGTTTGGATCGGGGCCACCCACCCATTCTTCCACTGCGGACACACTAGCCATCTGTTGCCTCTGTGATGACGCCATCTTTCTGGTGACCCACCCAGTGGCAAGCTGGTTTAAAAACAATGTTTGACTAAACACTGGGAGCTTTCACAGGCAGAACACACAACTTTTTCTGTGCATTGGCTGCGGTGGCTAGTTGTAAGAGTCCATTTTCTAACCAGTCTTATGTGTATATTGGACTACCTAGGGTTGGGTGATAGGCTACTGTTAGTGTGATCTATCATCATATTTTGTGTATGTGACAATATTCTGGGTGTGAGTTGGTATTTTTATTCTAAAGTAAATCAAAGCTAGAGCCAAGTGACCGTCTTGGGGAGGAAAATGGCAGTAGGCTAGTGTTCTTAATTGTCAATCTGGCAGATGTATTTCTTGTTTATTTCACCTGTGGTAACATTAGGAACTGTATAACAAAGGGAAAGACAAGAAATAGGATAAGTAAAATCCAATTCTTAATATCTAATCTCAATCTAAGCTCATTGTCAATATGTGACATCCACACCTGGCTCTCGATATGGACATTTTGCAAGCAGACTTAAAAAGATTAGCTTATTATTTCAAATTATATATTTTTTGATTTGCGGTGTGATTATTTTGTTGTTCTTGGCGATGTGGAAAAGCCTCTGTAGAAGCATATAGTCCTCTAGATACCATAGCTCATTTTGCAGCACCCAAGACAGGGGAGCGGGTGAGTCAGAATTGAATGTGGTTTATATACTGTCATCCTTGAAGCTGTTAACTAAAATCATGTCCTGTCCTCCACTTTAATGGAGGAAGATGACTGTGATTGAGTGATATCCAATTTCATTAAATGGCCAATTGATCAATTTGGCCATAAAAGCAGTTGTGCATCATAGTCTCAGTGGTCCACTTATTTAACTCATTTAAATCTTTCCTTTTGATTATAAGTATTGGTCTTAAAACACAAATGGCTGTGCTTATTAACAGGATCTGTTTACTGAGGTGTCACATTTGGCATTGATGATTACAGCCATGGTTTGAATTGATCCTGGTAGCAATTTGTTCTAAGGTGGACCGACTGCTTCAGTTAGCAATATGATTAATCTGATCAACTTTGAAATTCAAGCTCCCAGACATGTCTGTGAGCACACATGTGTAGCTGTCATCTTCAACATGTACGTTAGTGTTACATTAAGCCAACAGCCAACCAGTTTTCTCAAGAGAGATATTTTCCGTAGTGTTTTATTTTTTCCATAATGCGTGTGGTAAAAATAATTATTTTCTTTGCCTTTCACAGTAATGGGTTTAATTTAAAATTTCACCACCCACAAAGATGCATGTCAGGTGTGAAAAGAAAAGCACCTGCCAAGTTTCTGTCAGAAACTGAAATATTCATCAGCCGGCAGTCAGTCAACCATCATTAAGCCGGGGCTAATTTTCCACACTGAAGACTGCGTTGGGTATTTCCTGGCATAATCTCACACAGACTTTTAGGTGCAACTGTTGCCTGTGTGGGGTTTTCTAAAGGACAGGCTGATGAATCATCAAGCACACAGTAACTATTTTAATAATGCATTTAAAGCTGTGTCATACAAGGAAACGATGCTGAATGAATAGTATCACTTAACACATATCAATTGATCAGTGAAAACGCCACAGAATAGTTTTGTGTGTGGTTGTGTGGACACATAAAAAAGGGGTTGACTGGCAGGCCTGCTGTCAAAAATACTGGCTGTTTGAGTTTGATGTGATGACAGTTTACAAGATATTTAACCATCCCAAAAGCAGAGACTAGATTGAAAGACAAGACCCATCAAACATTGTCTTTGTTTAAAAAAATATGTGTTGCTTATTGAGTTAAGTAACGACGGAGAGTTGGAGGAGCTGCTTCGTCAAATTAAGAGCATCGTGCTGGCTCTGTGTGTTTTGTGTGTATGTCGAGCATGAATAAAACTTTCCTGCTGGGAAAGTCAGTTGATGACATGAATGACAAAATTGACACAAGGCCTACCCCTGCTGCCAGCCATCATCCTTTTGTTTTCATTGTCAGGTTTTATCGCAGGAGTGCCCCTTGTTTCTATCCTCTGTTAATTTGATCCTGTTGGGGTTATCCCCGTCTCTCTCCTTATCCGTTGTTTTTCTGTCTTAGTTTTGTCTTATGGTCTCTTGGCTAACATGCAGGTGGGGTGGAGATTTGCACATGTAGCCTGGTCCTTATTATCTACCAGGATTATCATTGATCGGGGGAGTACATCTGTTGTTGTGAATGTTTGATCATTAGCAACAATGTGGTTTTCCATAGGCTGTAGTTGGTGTTACATCACATCCATCACTTTACACATTACCACTTCCAATGAAACAGTCCATGATGATGTGTGTGTAGTTTATGGTAATGTAATGTTCTGTTTGTTGGTGCCATGTAGGTGCAGCTCCAGTTT